CAGACCTGGGAATGTTGGGCAGGGAAGCAAGTTTGGTGGGAAAATATAGTAGGAAATAGTGTAATTGGGCAGGGAAGCAAGTTTGGTGGGAAAATATAGTAGGAAATAGTGTAATATATTACACGGAAGAGTTTTTCTGTCTATGAATTCTGTCTATAAAGTCTTTTGGTACCAAATGGTGATTCTCTACTTCAGTATAGGTAGTAATTTGTCATTTTTGATCATTAGTTCCATATGAATATTTATACCTTTTACATATTAATTAGAATCAAACTGATTTTGGTTAGAAAGTACTATTCCTGTTCTCATAGTTTTTAAGAAAAATAATTGCACAACAAATGGTAAGACATTTCTTTATAATGTGTATTGCTCTGTATGGTACTTCATAATTTTCAAAGTACTTTCACTTCATTTACATCATTTAACAGTAATCCAATGGCACATGGGTATTTTGGATTTGCTATTCATTTACCTATTTTTTTTAAACCACAGTTTAAATCTCTTTATTTTCAGATTATAACAAGTGTGAAATCTCAGTCCATTTTCCCCATTATAATTGACTGGGTCTGATGGTCCTCCTCTTGTCTCACAGTATCTTGTGAATTATCTTTGACCTCATTCCACTGGGTATATGTTAACTTCAGGAGGCTATAAGCTACTAAGTAGCAAGGATGACTTTCTTATCTATGTATTCTTTCTTAGACCATTCAGTCATTTGTTCTTTTACCCAACATTACTGAGCATCAGCCATGCAATGCAGTATATTAGGTATCAAAATTACAGGTAAACAGTGTCCTTTACTTAAGCAGCTAACAGTTTGAAATGAGGAAATATACTGTAGTGTGAGAAGTATGATAGTTGCGTCTTATTTCAGGTTCTGAGCTTACTGATATCTGGTAAGTGAATACAAATGATTTTTACTTATGAAAATACAGTTACAGTTTCAGAAAGATAGCTGTTGGTTTCAAAGCAGTTATAAATTATACGTCAGTCATCTGTTCTTTGGATTATTCATGTTACTTCTCTCTTAGTAGATAATTGAATGGACCACCTGAGTTTTATACCGTCCAAATCCACTTGAAATGGGGCATATATCAATATATTGGAATTATCATTGTGTTATCCCAAATATTAGGCATAGAAGTCTTAAAATTTTTTACATTTTAGTTTTAATTTTTTCCATTCAGTGATTGATCATTTGGTTTTATTTTTCACAGCAGAAGAAATTTAGATCATGATGTAACTTGAGTTTTTTTTTTTAATAGCAGAACTAACAGGCAGTGTATAATTGTATTGGCTTAACCATAATTGCTTCCTGCCTTTGGAGTTCTGTGAAAATGAAGTGTTCTGATTACAACAGTTTTCTGTTAATTTATATTATGTGATGTTAAGGTTATGAATGATTGGAATTGACTCTGTTGATCCTTAGAATCAGTAAGTCAGCTGAATTAATTTCCCTCAGCAGTGATATAAAAGAAGGAATGATAAAAATTCCACTATCTTTTAATAAATGGGTAGACTGATGGATTTCACAATCTAGATTTTGATGGTGTTTTGAGGGTGCTGTAACTAGTAATAGAGTTATCAACTCTTCGAGGCATTTTAAGCTAAAGATGTTTCATGGTATTTCTTGGTCACCAAATATATGAGCTGTAAATAGAAACCCATTAACATGTTCATTATATTTTTGTTTAATTCATGTTTGTAATTATAATTTTAGTATGGTTAAAAAAATTTTTTTGTTGCAGTATTTTCTGAGAAAAAGGGGTATATCCTTAAGTTCCACTATTTTAAGTTAGATGATGTCAGTTTTTCTACTCTGGAACATGAATTTACAGGTGTGAAATAGTATTGGCTATTGGCTTGATGATCAGGTTTGAATTCACAGGTGAGACATAGTATTGGCTATTGGCTTGATGATCAGTTTTAAATATAAGTGTTAATCAGAGATGAACTTATTCCTTGGGTTCACATTTAAACTGTGGCATGTTGAAATAATCTAAGTCTCCATCTGCACATCTGAATTCATTTAGTAAAATATGGCAAACAGCTGCATTTCAAATGAAAGCTAAAACAACTGCAGGACATTAACCCATTGAGAAGATTACAGTAGGTTTTCAGTTCCATGTTAACTGTATTTATTACAGAAAATTGACTTGAGTGCTTCTGCTTTTAACTGACTTAAAAAAATGGGAAAAAGGAAATAAAGTATTGGCATGATAGGGCTTTGATGTATAAAGAAGTTAATGTCTAAAGAAATTATCTAAATCATCAAACAAAATGTGGGTATGTGAAATATTTTTAAAGATTCTAATGAGCTATCAGCTCCTCATGTCAAGAAAAATGTTACTCACCTGTTTGATTTAAAAACTAAATAACTTGACTGAAAGGATGATCATAGTTATAATAAACTAGGATTGGGACCTTTTACCTCTTACCAATAAGTACTCTTGATGTGAAACATTTGTAGTAGGAGGATAACCAAAGAAAGCAGTGGTTTTAATATAAATTTACTTTTTCTAATGTCTCCTCTTCTGAGATGGTTAAAGCAGGGTGACTGGATTTGCAAAATGAAAAAAGGGGCAGATTGTTCTATCAGTGTCTCAAGACATTAGGCGATAGGATAATCCTATAGAAGGGCATATGTTCAAATCTGACATGAGTCAATTTAAATCGTAACTGTGTTTGGAGACAGGGGTTAATGTTTAATTTTGAGTCTAATATTTTCTCTGGGGTATCATATCTTTGTCAGTCTTCTTTTGGGACAACACAGGAAACATTTTCCAAGATCCTTGAGAAAGCCAGGTCTCTTTTTTACCACTGTTTTGATTCTTCAGGACTGTTCCTGGAAGTACTTGTTTTTCTATTTTCCCCATGTTTTGGACTGGTGATGTGTTGGGTTTTTTTTTTTAAACCTGAGTTTCAAATGATGACTCTCCTGAGTCCAAAAGTCCTTGTGAAAAAATAGGATAAATTTAGGCTTAAAAAAGATGAAGGTCTTTTATAGCATTAGCTTCTTTGTATGGCTTAGAATTTTGATTTTCAAGCTGATTTTGAATGAAATACTTTTCCTTCTCTTTTCTCTGTTCTCCCATTCTCTGGTGGTTTTGGCCTGGCCCTCGGGCCCTCAGACAAGACCAGGGCTTATTTGACAGATAGTTGGTCCTGCTACAGAAGGATATGGGGATATTACAGGTCTAGCCACCTAGTGTGCTGCTTGTCTTTTAGATCTCTGCCCGATCGCCTTCTTAAAAGCTTCGTAAATGGCCTATCTCAGGTAGTGGTTTGTAGTAGTTTTTTTCAGCTTTCTTTCATGGGGCCAGGCCCTTCCATCTGAGCCCTTGATAAATAATGCTGGTTCAGGTTTCCTTTATCAGTTCTAGCCTCCATTGCCCTCAGGACTGGTCAGAGTAGAGGATGTATTAAGAAGATAAATTTGGCAGTAATGTGGAGAATGAAATGAGATGAAAAGAGAGAAGATGTGACTAGAGCTCCTACAAGGCCATAGCAAGAACCAGGAACGGGAGGGTTTAACCTTGGTAAAGTGGAATTTATTTGTCTTTTTAGAAATTACAGATTGCAGGAGGAGTCAAAGATGACGACTGAGATTTTGAGCTAGGGTGACTAGTAGCAGTAGTGATGTCAGTAGTGAAAACTATTTTATAAGGAAACTACTTAATATTTATTGAATTGCATTGAGATCTTTCAGTGAAAATACTCCAGTTTCTTCTGTGACTGTGAAATAAGAGTTATCTAAGTTTGTCATATAAAAGCTCTTAGCTGATCAAGAAAGGGAGAATTCTTAAGGTCTTTCTGCTTATTTGAATAATAGCAAACCATGTATTTAACTGTATGCTAAGAACTGTTCTGAATACTTTGTGCATTAATGGTTCATTTAATCTTCACAGCAATCTGAAAAGAGGGGGGGTATTACCATTCCCATTTTACAGATGAGAAAACTGAAGCACAAAGAAATAACTTGCCCAAAGTCCTAGCAAAGTAGCAGAGCTTGGATTTGAACTTCAACTGACTCCTAACTCTTCTTGATTAGTTGACTTACTTAAAGTTCTTAGTATTGCTAAATTTTATAATTTCTAAACTTTTGTTAATTCTTCTCTAGAATATGCAGATTTTTAAGGAAAAATTACAATATTGCCAGTTTATGTAAACATGAAATAGCTAACATTTACTGAGCACTTACGGTGTAATAGTTGAGGCTTTTATCTACTTTAACTATTTTAATGTTATTTTCATTAATTCTTGTTTATGGGCCTGCTGCACATTAAATAAAATGGCATATTTTAGGATTGTTATCTACTTTTCCTATTCTGCATCAGCTTAATTTTATTGGAGAAAAAAGTCACATTTTAAATTGCTGAGTTACTTAACCACAGATTATAAAATATCACAATGCTTACTTGTTATCTACTGATTACCTTTATTTGTATTATTTGTATTTTAGGCTTTAGTTCAAATGGGAATGAGATTATGCTGTGGATTTTCTGATTTTGCATTTTATAGCTGTGCAACTTTTCCTTTAAATGAAATCCTACTTGGAACCCTAATATATAAAGTGGAAAAATCAGAGTTGGTTTGGTGTTCTGGATGTAAATGGGGGAAGAGGTGGGTATGTGCTTGAGAGCCAGTGGGAGACCCCTAAAATATTGCCTGTGAACCTTAGGGCCCCCCAGAATACATTTTGAAAACCATTGAGTTCTATTAAGTATTTTAATGAGTATTTTTCTGCTGTTACTAATTATAAGATATGTACTGAAATATTTATGACTCAAGTGATTTTTTGATACTGCACTTGACTAAACATTTTTTTAATTTCATTTTAATAAAGATATTAAGGATGAACAAATACAATTTATATAAAACAGGAGAAATTTATAATTTTCTACATAACTTTCTGATGTAATTTAGAAATACTCCCATTTTTCATGTATTTATTTATAGTTAAATACATTTTGTAAACTTTATTTCTCCTTTTTATTTAGATGAATAATACTGCTGCCAGCCCAATGTCTACTGCCACTTCAAGTAGTGGGAGAAGTACAGGGAAGTCTATAAGCTTTGCTGCAGAATTACAGAGTATGATGTGAGTATGTCTGTCCATCTCACTTAATACTGTTTTAAGTTTATTCATATTGGTAAAAGACAAGAAATAACAAAATTTATAAAACTTAATTTGGAAATTTGTATTTAAATAAATATGAAGTAGTCTGATAACCATGTACAGAAGGGGCAAAATTGATTACAAATGCCAAAATGTATTGGAAAAATAAGTATTTGTTATCTTATAAAAGACTGAACAGTAATGTAAACAGTTCTGATTATCTCTTCAATGTGTGTTGTTTTTGTTACAAGTGTTGTTTTAGATTGAGAAAATTTTGAGATTGGTTATATTCTTGCATGAAATGTTTTCAGTTTTCAGTTTTTCTCAAATGTCATAATTCTGTGAGCCTGATTTAGCTTTTAGTTTTTGATAATATTTAAAGTCACTATATTTCAGAATGTTGAGAAAAACTTAAAACATTTAAAAAACACATTAATTCAGTTTTTGAGACATTGCACAGTCACGGAGATTTCTTTCCCTAGGCTCTTTTCAGCTTGATTTTTGGCTTCTTGCAAGAGTAAGACTGCATATTTTGATTTGATAGGAGGTAGTATACTTACTAGAACTGTCTGCTGGTGCATATTAGTTTTTTTTTTATTATTGGTTCAGGAGACTATTACCTGCATAAGGGGTGCAACACGTTAGATCTCTTCTTTTCATTATTCATGACATACCTGAAATGTTTCTCTCGAAGGTTTAAGTGACTTCATCTTGTGGGGGTATATATTGGTAGTCTTCATAGTGGATTAATACCACTGTGTGATGATTTTTGTAAAAAGGAAAAATGAATTTGAGTATATGTCTAATAGTTTGGTGAACTTTAAACAACATTGGAGATGTTTTGGTCATAGGTTGTCAAACTTTTTGGTTTTAGCCTCCTTTTATACTTTTAATTACTGAAGACATTAAATGTTTATGTGGGTTGTATTTATTAATAGTTTTGTTTGGAGTTTAAAACAGATAAAAAATATTAATTCATTTGAAAATAAATAAACCTGTTATTAAATAATATGTGTCCTATAAAAATAATTGTATTCTAAATTAAAAAATTGGTAATGTATTTTATTAGATGAGAATAAATGTATTGAATTAGGATTTGTATGGGGTGAGCCTGTGTTTTAAATAATGGAATATTTTAAGGGTTTATGCTTCTTTACACTTTTATATGTTAGTTTTTTTAAATTATAGTTTAGTAGCTTTCTATTAGGAATCTTTTATGTTGTATTATGTTAATTATATATTAAATATATCTTAGAAAGTTTACAGTAATGTGAGGTGATTCATTTTTGTGTAGAGCTAGTTCATTGATTTACTTCTTACTTTTGAAAGCTTTTAATTAAAAAATTTCAAACTCATGAAATTATAGAGAATGGTGTAATGAACCCCATGCATGCATCATCTGATTTTAACAGTAATTGTGTTTTGCCCATTTTATTTAACCTTTCTCCCTATGTTCCACTTTCTTTTTTAATGAAACATTTTAAAGCAAATCCTGGAAATCATACTTCAAATTTGGTGGTATTTATTAAAACAATGTATTTGTTACTGGGTAAAAAAATATTCTATAGCAGAGGTCAGCAAACCACAGGCATGGGCCTATGGAATGGCTGCTTGTTTTTGAAAATAAGGTTTTGTTAGACCACAGCCACACTCATTCATTTGTCTATTATCTATCACTGCTTTCATGCTACCTGGCAGAATTGAGTATTTGTGACAGAGACCATATGGCCTGTAAAGCTGAAAATATTTACTATATGGCCTTTCACAGAAAAAGTTTACCTGATCTATAGAAACAGCTCTCTATGAGAGGAAAGCTGTATTTCCTTTTGTCATTTATACTTAGGAGAGGTTCTATTTGGTGCATTTGATAGACTGCAGATCACAAGAAAACTGAAAAAAAACCAACAACTAAATTCAGCACTTTCTTATTAAATACTTTTGCAAACATCTTCCCAACTAATGTGCTTAAGCTGGCTTCAAAATGCAGAAGTTATTGTTGGCAACATTGGAAGAAATGTATATTTTCCTTCTATTTCAGACCTCATGGAGAGACCACTCCTCATAGTTATATTCATCATTTATAGTCTGAAGTTATTTTTTTCTGCTTATGAATTGCTTCATGGAATAGGAAAGTAAGGCCAAAATTGGGGGAATCTTTTAAAATTTACCAATATTATCTATTGGTATAATGTTTTCAGGCTTTTGATTATATAAAATTAGAGTCAATATACATTTATCCTTATGTGATTTCAAATGAGAAAGTGCAGAATGAAGTCTCTGTATTGTAGGAATTTCATTCTGAATCCTTTCTGGGTGGTGTGTGTGTGTGTGTATTGCAATTTCAGTTCTTCAAAGCCTGTTTGTATTGTATTGCTGTTTTTTAATTCTCTGTGCTCCTGTCTTCCTCACCTGTTAACCACTAATGAGCTGTTTTACTCTTGGCTCTCTGCCCTCTAAATAAGTAACAGTATTGTGGTGTCATTTCCAGGGAAAAGTTTCACTGAAAGGTACCTAGTTGTCAAGCACAAATAAAATTGTCAGGGTTTGCTCTTATAGGTAAAACTGGCAGCCAGTCTGTTCTACTCTTAGAGCCTTGATAGAATTGACCGTATTTTAAGTTTGGGGGGTAAATCCTACCAGTGAAGCATTCTTTAGGGATGTGCTTCTATAGATTTTAAACTAAAGGATTAGCAGTCAGACAGTTTGCTAGTGGGTTGGGAATGACAGCAGCTCTCCTTTACCTAGTGCCTGTAACTGAGCACGTTTGCTATGTGATCCTTATGACGGCTCTTTTATTAACATGTGCCGGAAGGCTTCAGAGGCTTTCATTTTTAAGATACTGAACTCAAATACCCTGTAAATTAGAAAGTAAAATCTTTTCAGTACACACTGTAGATATTATAACAATCTTAAGAATTTTAACTAGCTTAAATGCACTTCAAGGAGTCTTTGTTGGGTTCTCTCTCATTTTACTCATTTATATATTTCTTGCCATGTTATATTGTACATTTTCAGGTTTATAGGCCTGATGATGATGCCAGGTTTCTCTGCTTGGTAGCATTTAGTAATTCTCATCTGACCATATTAAAAAAAAAGGATTCTGTTTATGTGTTACTTATATTTTGTAAGGATTCTCCTAAATTAAAATTTCACCTTTATTTGAAATCCACAAATTAAAAAACATTTTTTAAAATCAGTGTTTTCTTTACATACGGTAAGTTTTACCCTTTTAATTGTACATTTCTGCAAGTTTTGCATCTTAAAAAAATCAATATTTATTGAGCCCTTACATGGCAGGACAGGTGCAGCTTTCAAGATAGTCTAGCAAGGGGTTGTGGAGGCAAATAAATGTCATATTAATAGGATGTGAAAAATTCCATGGTGGTACAAAGGAGGGGGTGATGAACTGAGGGTAAGCTTCCTAACTTTATGTCTATACTTCTGATGGCTTCCTGGAAAGTCTATTAAGTGTTCAATGAGCACCTCAAATTTAGTATGTCTAAAACTGAAGTAATAATTTTCTCAGTAATTTGTTTCTTGAGAATTTTTGGAATAAATACAAAAATCATTCATTCATTGCTGCACTAGACTAGGATATAGTTGTATATGTGAAATGGTATCATTCGGCTGTTTTTTAGCATTATGAAGTTATGAGGTATGAAAGAATATGTTCCCAGTTCTATCATCACCTTAATCTGAATTTAAAGAGACCTAATATGTAAATATATGAATTAGTAATGTTTAATAAACTGGCACAGGGTTCCTTCACATATTGTTTCTCTGTGCATTTAAGTTTTTTAGGAAACTGGAGCAAAGAGAAATTCTTAAAATAAGAAGCACTAACAATATGTACAGTTTCAGAGATGCTTTAATAACACCAGTGATAACAGTGAATGCTTATATAGAGCATGATATGTACCAGACATTCACCTGAGTACTTCCAGATATTGTTTCATTTAATTCTCATGCAACCCTTACATAGGGTTAGATATTGTTACTCCCTTTTTATGGAGTAGGGAATTTAGACACAAAGATTAGTAAGCTCACCAGAAATTTCCTTTGCAGTAAGTGGTAAAACCTGCATTTAAGCAAGGAAGTCTGACTCCAGAGTCCATGTTCTTGACAAATTATGCTGAGCTATAAATTAATAAAATTTTTATATTGATTTATAAAGTTTAGTTTACAAATGAACTTTTACCAATTTATGTATTACTCATGTGCTACAATGAAGTAATAATTTGAAAGCTGAATACTTGTTCAGTTAATTACTATTACTACTAATGAGATCTAATTTTTATAAGATGTATTGAATTAAGTTGTGATTTTCACATCATTATAGCATTCATTTCAGTTTCTTACATCTAACCATGCAATCTTTTGGAGCAAGACCATATCAATAAACAAGAGAAAGTACAGTTTTTCATAGGAATTATATACAGGTGCACCTTGTTTTGTGTTTTGCAAACGCTGTGTATTATGCATATTGAAGGTTTGTGGTAACCCTGTGTTGTTCAAGTCTTTCAGTACCATTTTTCCAACAGTGTTTGCTCACTTTGTATCTCTCTGTCATACTTTGGTAATTCTTAGAGTGTGCAAACTTTCTCATTATTATTATATGTGTTATGGTGATATGTGATTAGTGATAATGACTTGCTGAACATTCAGGTGATGGTGAGCATTTTTTAGGAATAAACTTTTTAAATTAAGGTTTGTACATTATTTTTTAGACATGATGCTGTTGCACACTTAATAGACTACAGTATGGTGTAAATCTAACTTTCATATGCACTGGGAAACCACACAGTTTGACTTGCTTTATTGCAGTATTTGCTTTATTGCAGTCATCTGGAACTGAACCCACAATATCTCTGAGCTATGCCGATACTTAAATGCTCCTTATTTGATGCTTATATTTGTGATATATCATAATTTTGTATATAAACATGGTGACATTGTTTTTGAATATTTAAATGTTTATCCTA